TTTGGTTTTGCTGCAATTTGGCCTTCCTGGTTTTGTTCGATTGGATATTTTAGTGGATTTAGATAATTTGTCGTGTATTTCAAACCCATTGAATGAATTTTTGTGAAAAAAATGAGTTTGTCGGTGTTTTTTCTATGGTTGAAGAACCGGTCAAAGAGGCAATACAATATGTGTGAATTTTCGACTATTTGGCCACTTTTTCCAATGAAAATTACGTGAAAATAAATGTTTACATTGAGAATTCATCTCTGGTAGTGAGATTGAATCGAAAAAAGTGGAAAATATCAGATTAGTTTCAGCGAATAGTGATATAACCTCAAAATTCGACGAACGTTTGTTTTGCTTGTGGGAAGTGGCATCTTGGACTGATTCCGAACAAAAATATATGAAATCGATTCCAAATTCTCTGCTCTATCAAACTTAAACTACCATTTTCTGTTTATTTAATACCGAAAACACCCTATTGCGCATAGACCAAAATGGCCAGATTTTATGACGACCCCCAATGTTATCACTTGATAATACATGCTAATCGCTCAAACAGTCAATATTCGCATTCGCATTCGCACTTAATAAACAATACACAATTTATTGAGTGAAGGTTATTTTTATGTTCCCAGTGAAATGAAACTTCGAAACCCATTACTAGCCGACATTGTCTATGGTCCGGACTGTTGTTTCATATATATATATATTAAATTGACCTTTATATAATAAAACGGTTAACAGACACGAAATGCAATAATCCAAAGGCAATGGTTGCCTCCAGTATTTGTGCCTTCAGCCAAGCGGCCGCTCGATTAAAAAAACTACACACGAACATACGAAGGAAATCATGGATGACGGCAACACCAATATTGAAGTCCGGAAAGAGAATGATAACAATCCATTCGTATTCAGAATAAATCCATTTCAGTGGCAAAGATTGATTACATTCCCTTATGTGCGTTCTATTTAGTTATCGCAAAACTCGCGTCAAAAATTCACTTTCCCCTTCGCATGTAAAGATTAAGTGTACATAGCTTTACATCGATTCCAATACCGAACCGCCCACACACCGATACCAACCGATACTGTACAGTCGAGATCCGGGATAAGCAGAAGTTTTCCACTTAATAGAATGCACACACATATTCACTTGTGACTGAATATGCTTTCAATTTGATAAAATCACGTTATTTGACATCCTAAGCAAATAACAAGCGCCGATATTGTAGTTACGTCAGCAACAGTGCCCGCACAATCCATTCCATTATGAACTATCACTTGTCAGTTATCACCCAGAGACATTGCCTTGTTTGAATGTGATTAAACAGGCATCTTTGAACTATGTAATTCGTATGAAATATGGCTTGGAACAAGATGTTGTTCGCCTATCAAATGAACAGACAACGATAACATTCGGCATTTCGGTGTGTCTGTCAAAAATCAATCAACTAATGAAAACCCTGTTAGGATTTGGTACGCTCTCATTCTTCGTCTCGGTTTTTCT